CAGCCAGCAAAGGACCAGCGTAAACCAGCAAAGGACCAGCATAAACCAGCAAAGGACCAGCTTAAACCAGCATCCCAGCGTCAAAACATACCTAACCAGCATATGCTGGTTTTTTCAACAGGGGTACAGGCCTTGTTTTGTTTGTTTTATGTGTCATTAAAATGTTTAAACTAATCCGAGATCAGATAGGTAAACAACATAGACACTGGGGTTATTAGTATACTGTACTGGAGTCTGGTAGGCTACAGAATATAATATAATATAATATAATATAATATAATAATATAATATAACATAATATAATATAATATAATATAATATAATATAATATAATATAATATAATATAATATAATATAATATAATATAATATAATATAATATAATATAATATAATATAATATAATATAATATAATATAATATAACATAATATAATATAATATAATATAATATAATATAATATAATACAGTGCGGTAGGCTATTGCTGTCAAGTTCTCAGTATTTTTTTGGCGCTGGCGCATTGGAACTAATTTCGCTGACGGAGCAGATGTAGGCTATACAAAATAACTGACCATATTCCGTCTAACATGCAAGTTATTCGATATGAACTTTTTTTCTCTCTCCAACTGTTGTATAAAAACAGTGTCACAATCTTGTTGCCTGCACCATCAACTGGCAGCAGAGATTATACATTTATTTAGCAAGCTTCTGGAATACTTTGAGAAACTAAATAACCTTTCAGACTTGAGAAAAACATAACAATACAACTTCTGAGGAACATAATTTCTGCAGAGCTTGTTGACATTTAGTATTTGTTGACGATTCATTCTTTTCGGAGACGATCGACATCGGGACGCATGAATATTTTAATTAAAAGCGTGTACTATTCGATACAATTCTAGTGCATTTAATCTATTAAATAACAGCAGAGTGAGCGAGTTTTTGGATATGGTAAGATTAAACTTATTTTAGTGAATAAAGTACCATTTCAGCGGTGGGTACACACAATGTTATTTTATCCTTGCTTATAGAAAATCCTCAATCTGCTTTCTAACAGCTTCATGTGGCCGTAAACATTTAATTTAGCGTGGTTTTAAGCACTATGCATCATTAAAGTTTCACTTTCACCGCGACTATGCCGGTAAACGTGGTGTTTACATGGAATAATCGTAATATGAGTTTACCTTATGGTCTCTGTATCAGTAGGAAAGCGATAAAACGATCGAGCATCTTCCATCTGATATTGTGATGCATTTCGGGGCAAAGCAAATTAAACATAGTCGAACAACAATATGAAACGCGAGAAACTATTAATAGTTTTTTTCTACAATTAATTGTACTACAAATTATACTACAATTGGAAAATACTGTAAATTGATAAACTGTTCGACGTGATGTTTAATGTCTCTGACGGTGCTTGCAACCGTCTTTTTAAAGAAAGTAACAGTTTTAAAAAAATCATGAGTGGGGTGTAACTGGTGTGTTTTATGTCGTAGAATAAAACGTGAAAGTATCTTGAGCTTGTGTAAACCACGGACCTTATTTTAGGGTATTTAACCAAACTCCCATTTAAAAAAAAAAACCACTGACTCTGGGACGATGGAACCGGAAGTGCTAAAATGCTAACTCGCTTCCGGGTTTTTGCCTACGGAAGTGACGTCGGCTATTTTGAAAATGCAGTCGCAGGAAAAATTACAGAGCCGCCGGTTGCGGGTTTTTTACTTTTATAATGTACTGCGGCCGCCTAAAGTTTATCTATAGTCAAATCAAAATCGCAAAATGTATTATGCAGAGATGGACTATTAGGTGAGTTTCACCCACAGCAGATGTTAAGGCTTTCACACAGCAGAAATAATCACGACAACAGCCAGTCAAAGCATGTCTCTTGTAAGTCTGCATGCTCTGAGTCTCTGTTTAAATGAGTGGCGTAGTTTCGTCTACTACACAAACTCAAACACACTTGAAGCTCATGGTGATTTCAGCGTCTGTGTCACCCTAAATGAGGACACGAACACACGAACTTCATCGCTCTATCCACCTTTTTCTTGTTGTAAACATGGGCGCGGCCATTTGTAAATTCTATGGGTTTGGCTTCCGGTCTCATCTGCTCATCCACTCCGTCCAGCTATTTTTAGCTGAACAAAACAGTTCGTTTTGCTGCTTGATATTGAAAGTTGGGGTGTCTTATCATATTATTTTAATGTATTATCTTAATTATGAACACACTGGTTTGTAGTGCAAGTGTTTTACCGTTTACTGCACGTTGTTATTCTCCTCGTTATTTACCTATAGCGGTTAATGAACCGGAAGTCTCACCCATAGGCTTACTTTCGCGTTGAAGAAAAAGGTGGATAGAGCAAACGTGAAGAAATTTTAAACAGAAACATATTACTACGATGTACTTCTCAAAGTAATAATGCTATTACTGATATTTTTTCAACAATGTTTTTTTTATCAAACATAAGGTTTTGTCATGCAGCATCTTATTTGACAAAAAAATAAAAATGCAATGTTTTGTTGTAAATTAATTGTTATATATGATATTATATTTTACTTTATATTTTATATTTTTAAGATTTATGTAAATTGTTAAAGTTTTATTAATCCATTTCATTTGCTTTTTGATGATAAATTTGTATTGTCATAAAATACAAAAGAAATAAAATGGAAAACACAGAATTTAGGGGAAAATAAAATGGATTTCATGGGGCCCAAAATTTAAAGGTGGCTTAAAGGAGTTCATAACAAAATCAAGTTATGTTTACATTCATTCTCAAGGTCTAACAAACACGTGGGGAGCATTTCTTGACCCTCTAACTCTAGCACTCTCTATTCTAATTCTATTCTTAAAAAAAAACTTGTCCCTTTTAGACTTGCACTCTATTCATTTACAAACTGCTTGTTTTCTTTTTATTTATTATACAATTAACAAAAGCAAAAAAAACCTCTTAACACTAGCTTGCTCTATTCTTTTCCTATTCTATCTGTTTTCTTTTTATTTATTATATAATTAAAGAAAAAAAACGTGCTACGTGTACTGCATTAAGCTAACTGAGACTTGTTATAGCTCTTGCGTATCATTGCTCTTTTATTGATTTTGATTGCTTCCATTGTCCTCATTTGTAAGCTGCTTACAATGTCCTCACCCTCAGACTGTCCTAGATGTTGATGAGTTTGTTTCTTCATCAGATTTGGAGAAACGTAGCATTACATCACTTTCTCACCAGTGGATCCTCTGCAGTGAATGGGTGCCGTCAGAATGAGAGTCCAAACAGCTGATAGAAACATCACAATAATCCACAAGTGATCAATTAACATCATGTGAAGGCAAAAGCTGCATGTTTGTAAGAAACAAATCCATCATCAATGCATTTTTAACTTGGATAGAGAGTCTTCTATACATTGTTTTCTCCAGTGAAAAAGTGGTCTGGTCTGAATCGTGAGAGAAATCTGCACAGATTAAGCATCGTTTACAAGCAAAACCAGCTCTAAACAAATATGTTAATGGATTTTGATGTGAGAGACAACAGGAGATGGACTTTTTCAGCAGAGGATTTATGGATTCATATGGACTCATATTTTGGCCAGAAGCAACAGTATAAAGTTAAAACGCCTTGGTTTGTTTCTAACATGCAGCTTTTTGCTTCACAAGATGTTAACTGATGGACTGGAGTGGTGTGGATTATTTGTGGATTATTGTGATGTTTTTATCAGCTGTTTGGACTCTCATTCTGACGGCACCCATTCACTGCAGAGTATATTGCGTGTATTGGTGATTATATTTTCAGCAAATTTTCATTTTTGGTTGAATTATTCCTTTAAAGCTAAGAACTTTACTTCCTTGCACTGTTTTTTTTTGCTGCATACATGATATATAAACTTGTGCAGCTTGATTTGACTTCTGGTTGACTTTTGTTTGCAAATGTCAAACTTTCAGCTTCATTTTCAATCTAAGGAAACCACAAGCAAGCAGTTTTTCTTTCGGGTTCTTTACTTGATTTCTTTTCCCCTCAGTTATTTGCAGGCAGTTCAGTATGTTGTATCCCCATGCTTTCCTCGGCTTAATGTTTCCGTATTCCCAAGTTTTTCATGCGATTCTCTCCAGACATGGAAAATCAGAGGGGAACAAACCTGCATGAGTGATTTCCTGCATGTTTCTCTGATCTGAATGGCTTTGCTCTGGGAACGTCCATTCAAACGAGAGTCAAGTTTCTTTCAGTAGCGCTTCCCAGTTCGCCCAAATCCATCAGATCTGGATGCACTGGCAGGCAGATGTTTGTCTCTGCGTACAGTAGAAGTCATGTTTTTTTGCATTTGTGTGTTCTTGTGATTAGCAGTGCTCTGTAAACCCCCGGATAAAGAGGTCGCAGATGTTCCCGCGCCGATGACGATGCTCCCGCCTCCGCCGATCCCGCTGACCACGCCGTCCGTGGAGGAGCTGATCCAGCAGAGCCAGTGGAACCTCCAGCAGCAGGAGCAACACCTGCTCAGCCTCAGACAGGTGCATTAAAATCTTTTGCGCACAAAAGTTTTGACCCCCTCAATGAAAAGTCTATGGGACTTTGCGTAATTTTGATGGTCCATTTATCTTCTGCGCACCAGAGCTGCATTTATTTGATCAAAAAATACAGTGATATTGTGAAATACAACTCAAAAGAACTGTTTTCTGTTTAAATATATTATGTTGGCTTGACTACTATTAAATCTACTATCTACTATTTAAACTGCTGCTTCATCTTCTGAGACTAAATTTAGTAGTAAGCTAAAACCACCAAACTTGGGTCAGACCTTCAGACTGCTGTCAAGTCACCTTTATTTATATAGCGCTTTTAAAGGGGTGGTTCACTGTTTTTTTTCTAGGCTTGATTGTGTTTATGGGGTGCAGTCTAACATGTGTTAATGCTTCGTGTAAAAAAAAAAAAAACTTATTATTTTTTTACATAATTTACCTTCATTCCACACCGCTCTGTCCCTTCTCGGAGAAACGGGCTGATCTTTTCCTGTTTTTATGAAGCCCCGTTCTCAGAAATAGGCGATGGGCTCTGATTGGTTAGCTAGCCCAGTATGTTGTGATTGGCTAAACCGCCTCTAGTGCGCGTCTAACCGTCCCGCCCCTCACCTCAGCGGCATGTACTCAGGTTGTATTGTAAACATAGACTGTATAAAAACATGGACGTAGTGTCCGTGACGTCACCCGTAGTTTT